CCCTCATGGAAGGCAATGAGAGTTTTGAAATTGACTTCAGCGGGGCCATTATTTCAATGATCTCATCTGTGGCAGGATGGGATTGAAAGATGGTTTTCAGACTCAAATAGGAGAGGCAACCGCATTCAACATACAAATATTAATACTTCTGCAGGTTTTACGAAGCTACTAGGAAATTTTTCATAGCTACAGCATTAAAAAACAATTTTTGAAAAAAATAATATAGGAAATGAGATGTCACATTAGATTACATCATTCTGATTACAGTCTCGCTTCCTATCTTTTACTCCTTATATCTTGCATCTAAATTCTAGTATAACTGTAGAAACATTAGGACTAAATTTTCAGCTTGTCTGTAGCAAAGTGTCCTGAACTGAAAAATATACTATAAATGAAAAGGCATATGAACAGAAAAACATATTTGATGTCATGTAGTAAACAGTAATCTGTCATAAAAGTTATTATTCAACTATATTCATACTGTTGTAATAAATAACAATAACAATAATTCTTGTGTGGTGTATAAAAGTATCTATAAGATGAATAGAGTGTATGGAAATGTTAACATTGCGTATTAAAGTATCATCATGAGTATGTGGAATTGATTCCCTGTTAGCACCTGTTTTAGATCATTCAAGAATAAATTAAAAAGTAGTGGAGCAAGCAAACATCCTTATTATGTCTTAGTTGGTGAACTATTGAACAGGGCATCACCAGTTCCATAGCACACCCTAGATGCTGTATTTGAGCAGTAAGTAATGATTATTTGTAAGAAAGCTTTATCTACTGATGGTATTGTCAGTTTCTTCCACAATTTTAATCTGTCTAGGTGTCAAAAACTCCCTTGGGGTCTATGAAGTCTAGATGCAAATGATTTTGTTATTTTACATATCTATATGATAACAATTTGAAGTCTGTTCCTATATTCCTTAAGTATATTTGCTTTACTTGCACAAAGAATAAGGGATGAAAACAAATATAATTCTTCTGTTTTATTTTACTGGCTACTGCTTCATTTTATCTTTTCTTTTATATCATCATATACTAGGTTCCAGTTTAATTTTGTGTGAACTGGTAGAATGGACAATCTTACTGTATGATTTTAGCAAAAATTATAAATTATATGAAATATAACTTTCATTGTTCATTTTATTGTATTGCTTTGGTGAAAGCTGTTAATAAACTACTACTACTTCTATTGAAGTATATAGATTTTTAAAGTAATTTCTATAGAAACCTAGGGTCTAACTATGCTATTGGTTTTGTGGGACTCTTCATAATTGAGTCTCTCAAGTTTGCAGGTGCAAATAAATGCAAACATGCAGGTAGGGCTATGAATGCATTGAGTAATCAAATAAAATGATATGTAAGATAGTGATTTGTTGATCACTCTTCCTGCTTTTGGCTACACAATAATATTTCACAATATTAAATGCTATTTCTCAGTAAGGAAGGGAAATGTCCTCTCTCTAACCCTAAAGATTCTCTAGATTCACAATCTGGCAGCACAAATTACAAAACTGAATTAGTGCATAAATCAGAGAAAATATTTATTTACAGACATGTAAAAATTATGTTACAGCATTTTAAAGAAAGCCGTCATGAACCATTACACAGGTATACATGGGCAAAACTTTGAATGGTTTAAACTTTACCTTTCAATACTGCCTATTAAAAAATACCACTGCTTACAAGGTTATAGCTATCTACATAGTTTTAATACAATGATTTGGTTTTTATTTCCAGAACTAAAAGCAATTATACACAAAACCCAAACCAAACCAACAACCGTACATAATACAAGAATTTACAAAAGTAAAAATCTTTTCCTCTTGAGCAAGCTGTAAAACTTAGTTAAGAAATCTTTTCCATTCATGCAACTGCACAGATTGAAAGAGCAAGATCTGTGAAAGAGCCTTATGATGTAGGCCTAAGGAGAAAATAAGTTAGTTTAGTATCTTGATTTAGAATTGTATACAAGTGAGCTACAAAAGCTTATTATTTAGTAGTCATATTGACTTTGACTCCCATCTTTAAAACAGAAGTAGATATTTTAACTTCACTCACCTTCAGTTACCATAAATGATCACCGCATGTTACAGTGGCTCCAGAGAAATACAGCTACACATATCTTCTTTTTATGACTATGCAGTGATGTCTATAAGATAAATATTTAAAAATGACAGATTGAGACACTCTGTTCATTTCTGGGTACATTGACCCTTCGAGCTGAATATTACGGACTTGACTCTAATTTAAAATAGCCCCCTGCGAAGTATATCAGAGCATAAAGCTGCCTTATAGCAATTGTAAATTACATCTGCACCTATTTTTAAGGAGCCAGAGGGTGCAAAGGAACATTAGTATAAATGAGAATTTGTTCCTTTATGTTTACTGGCTCTTCAATATTGCCAAAAAATGAGTAATGCAAAAGAAACTAGGAAACCAAGTGTTTGTGACATTAGCAAACTGTATATAGTCTACTGTATATACGGAGGGCAATGAAGCATCAAGTTCTATTTAAACTACCAGCATCTCTTCAGTGATTTCAATCACATGTGCTATTAAGAAAGCTTGATAGGAGAGTAGTTTAGACAGTGCAACAATTCCATGGCTTGCAAATGAATAGTACCTCTAGGTCTCACCTTAGATGTTGCTCTGCCCTAAAAAACACTTCCAGGAATAAAATCATAGTGCAGAACAGCAGTGACAGTTGGGGCTGTGAAATCATTCCTGTAAATACTATCTAGGGATGGTAGAATGGTAAGGAATACTGCAAACACCTAACGCAGTACGGTACGGTTCACTGGAACAGAGTTGGGATGGCTCATTCAGACCAGATCTCTAACATGGAGCTATAACAATATTTAACTACTAGCACAATTATCATAATCAATCTACTAAGATCACATAAGCTTCATGATTTCAGAATGCCCCCCAGCTCTTCTCTACTCCTAACCGAATTACTAGAATTATTTTTTAATATTAACTAAATACAATGATATTTATTGTTATATTTTTGTAGCTAAACAATGGGCATAACTTACATTTGTGTATACTAAATGACATTATATTTCCTACCAATATTATTGTAAACTTGAATAACAACAAAGAATGAATAAATATAGCTTTAAAATATATCAGTGATTGCCATATTATGAGTTTTCTTGGGTTAAAATTACAATTAGTAACATTTCTGCTTTGGTTTTCTGGGATTGTCACCTATAGCAGCTCCTGACACATCCCTTATGATAAGTAATAATCACTCATGCTATTTTTCTCAATTCCACTCTCATTTGAGCTGGCATAACTCCAGCGACTACAGGGAAGTAACCCTGAATTTATCCCAGTATTACTGAGAAGCATATTCTTCTACTGGCATAGATTCCCTGTGCATTAATAGACTGTAGGTATGTCTATTATATGCAGTTAAAGTGAAGCAATACATTTTGGAGTTTATTGCCTCTTGAACAAGCACCAGGGAGCATAGCACATTGAGCCAGGAGCAACGCATGGCGCAAAACACATGCAGCAACCTCAGCTGATAGGAGGCCCAGGGGTGGGGGGGTGGGGCAGGCAGTGGTCAGGCTGTCAGCCCAGAGCTGCTCCCCATGGCTCAACGTGCTGCAGAGGGGCTGGCTGGTGAATAAGGGTGCTTCAGCATGGTGCTAGCCAGCAGGCAGCCCCTTCCCTGAAGCACCCTCATGCCCCAGTCTGCCAGGGCAGCATCTACATATATACTGCTGCAGAGTTTTTACTCCACAGCAGGACAGTACTTGCATTTGCAAGTACTGTCCTGCTGTGGAGTAAATTAGTTTACTCCAGCCTAATAGGGATGCATGTGTAGATGCTGAGATGTTTACTGCGCAGCTAATTAGTCTACTGCATAGTAAATGGCTCATGTATGTATACTTTCCCTAACCAATAGATGAGGAATATTACTCTGTACCTAAAGTCAGTCAGGATGGATCTTTTGCATCTGTCTACCATTTCTTTCTTGTAAGGTCATCATCATTTACCTAACAAATGGGTCTAATCCAAAGTGTATTGAAACACAATGGCAGTGTATTTCATTGGCTTCAATATACTTTTGATCAAATCCTATGGACAGCGGTGGAAAGAACTGAATACATGGTCCTTTTGTGACTGCTGGATTAAACTTCCAATACTGAGGGATGTGCATATCAGTTAAAATCACACCTCTTTAATCCACTTTTATTCAATTATGTCTGAGCTTCAGTTACTTGGATGAAGTTCTTAATTTCTCATCTTTCTCCTGTCCTTCAATATGTGATTAGTTCTAAGCCTTTCCTTCTTTCTTATGAGATGTACAACATGTATAGACATTCACTCTTCCAGGAGAAACTCTTCTAGGATTGATTTAATGCTACTTGTTCACAAGTTATTTTTCCCTTGGAGCAACCATTTTCACTCTGGGAGAAAAAGCCTGAACATCTGTATGCTTGTGGTTTCTCTTTGGAGAGTAATGACTCTTCCAGGAGAAAGTGAATGTCTATATGGGTGTTTATACATGTGCTTCAGAAGTGTGTGCATGTGCGTGTGGGGGGGGCGCTTTAATTAGAGTGGCTCCGAGAACTGCTTTAAATATAGTACCTGGAGAGTCTCATGTATCAGCATCCCCATGCTTAAAAATGGTGGCAGGGGTGCTTTAACTAAAGTTCATTGAATGAGCTTTAGTTAAAGTGCCCCTATTGCTATTTTTTAAGAGCAGGGATGATGATACACAAGACACAGTAACTGCAGCATGGAGCAGCCTTGCTGCTCATGTATAGACACCCTATGAGACCTATGTTAGACAGACATCCCTCTCCTGCATAAAATGTTGTTTATCTGTATCATATAAAGATGTGGATATCTTTTTGTACCATCAGGAATGACAAGGGAGCACTTTTATTACAGAATAAGCAATCACTTACGCACTTTACATAGCTTAAGTGTATTAAAACATATTTGAATGAAAATGCGTCAATGTTGTTTGAAAGGAAATATTGTTTATTAAGAAATTATATATTGAATTCCCTTACAGCCTTTGTGAAAATGAATTATTCCAACTTCAAGCATTTGGAGACTGCTTGAAAGGTTCAGGAATGGAAAGATTCTATTGACTGAAAGTGAAACAAACATTTTTAAAACTAATTTGGAAGTTTTCAAAAATTGGTAACATCAAAAATATTTACCTCTCTGGAATACAGTTTTAATGGGACATGCATTGGCACAAACTTCTCCATAATTGAAAACAAGCTGTCTTGAGATATAAACAGATACATGTATAACAAGTGTGCCAATCTATGGCATCACCCAGAGGGTTTGTCTGAAAAAGAGATTAGCAAGTGGATCCAATTTACCGTTTATCAAAGACTGATCTAATATTTGACATACTTGCACGTCTTAGCAGTTACAGTGAAATGATCCATGAATAGACAGAACTATCACTTTTTCCTTCAACAGTATCCCTTCACATAAACATAATTATTTTAAATTACGAATATAATAAATCAAGTAATGAAAATACAACATTTGATCATAACTCAGGTCATAACATGATATTGTTTGAATTAAGCTGTAAACAGAGAAGTGCAATATCACCTGACTTTAGATATGATAAACAGTAAAACATGCTAATCATAAAAATAGCTTTTACAAATATACATTTGTATACAGTGTCTCCCACACCTCTTAAATATGTCCTTCATATTAGTATCATACAGTACACTGGCCTTTAAGACATCAAAATTAAAAAAATAATACCAATTAATAGCCAGAGAAAAACACATTTACAATCTAAACCATAAAAATCTGACAATTGTACAGCTTAGAACATATAAGAAATGGAATTTCTAATATTTGAACCATAGTGTCCATTTTAATAAGTAAATTGAGTTTCATACAAATTGGATCAAACGTGTTGTTAGCTAATAAGAAACTGCAGTTCAGATTTTTCTCAGTGTTCAGGGGAAGTCAGAGTTTCTCTCCTCAGCCTCCAGAAGGATCACACATGACATCTCATCACTTGATCTGTAGAAACTGAGAAATAAAATCCTTGCTTTAGTATGAAGATCTGGGCTTTGTTCAAAAGCACATCAAAGATAAACCAGGACAAACTGTCAGGGATGAAAAAAGGAAGTCTATGACCACTTTATTTTTCTTATTTTGTCTTGTCATTCAGAACAATCAATCTGACTTAGATATCTACTTAATACGTTTGTGAGCTAAAAAGAAAGCCACGTAACTCTTACTATAGATAGCCAATACCATAATATCCCTAAATTAGGATACACTGCCCAGAATTAATTACACAGAGTGTGCCTCTACATAAGATGTTTACTGCGAAGTTGACTAATTAGTTGTGCAGTAAATGTCTTGCATCTACACATGTGTATCTATTAGGCTGCAGTAAATTAATTTACTCTGCAGCAAGATAGTACCTGTAAATACAAGTACTATCCCGCTGCAGAATAAAAAAACCTTGCAGCTGCACACATGTTGATGCTCCCTGGGCTGGCTGGGGCATGAAGGTGCTTTAGTGCAGAGGCTGGCTAGCTCCACGCTGAAGCTCTTTCATGCCCCAGTCAGCCCCTCCACAGCACATGGAGCTGTGGGGGGAGAAGCCCTGGGCTGGCAGGCTGATCCTTGGGGCTCCCTGCCAGCTGTGGCTGCTCTGACCATGCTCTACACATGCATGAATAAACTCAGGAGCTGACTGCTCCAGAGTTAATTGCTCCTGGGTTCACATTCAAAAGATGTGCCTGGGAGAAATTTATGTGCACTAATTACACTTGTAGACACACCCAGTATTAAATAAACACCTGTCTCCAGAAGAAAGTATACTTTTCTTCAATGGTACTATGCTAAGAATTGTAGAATAATTTCAACAGCTGGTAGGGAGTAAAAGATTGCTTCTTATCTGTGCCATAATGGAATGTCATACTTGCAATATTATATTGATTCTAAAGACATTCCAGATATACTACATGTGGCCCCCTATGTTTCTGTTTCATAATTAGAGAAAAGTAAACATGTTTTGTAAACATTTACATTTAATAAAAAAAAGTTTTAAAAAGCTTAGATGAAAACAGTTGTTCACTAGTCCTACTACTAAGAGCACAATCCCCTCTGACGGTTGTCACCCCTTATATCATAATCTAATTCTCCCCTTACAGTCAAAAGGTCACAGAATTTTTCCTGTATTGGTGAAACAGTGTTGGGGGAAGGACTCACAGTTCCATTCATCCTTGTGCACATGTGTCTCTGTTCTGAGTTAAGATGATAATTTAAAGCCATTATTCTCCACAGGCATGGAGAGAACCTTCATATTTTCCCATTTTAGTACCAAATCCCTAGATAGATTTAACAACATGAAAAGAATTTTCAATCCTCCCCTTGAGCCTAGCGGCTCTTAAGCAGTTATAAATCTTGTGAAAGGGAGAGAGAGAGAAAGCCCTGCAGTTCCAATGTACTTCCTGTTAGCCACATAGACAGTTCTCCTTTTCTAGCCTTTTCTTCACCTTGTATCGCTGACACATTATGTATGTATAAAGGCAATAATTATCCATGGAAGAAGAGAGACAGATTTTCAAATTACTTATGGAAGCTATTTTCCTGCCATAAACCTTCCAGGCATTTACCTGTCAGTAACATTAAAAATGCTTCATTAGGTTACTATTATGAAACATTACTGCTAAGCCTTTTGGATCTAAATCATGAATACCATCTTGTTGTCACTTAAAAACAATGGTAAAAATTTACCAGCCTCACCAGAAAAAAAAAATCATGTGTTTTCTTTCTTCATAGAGGCGTCTTATTTGCCTCTTCCTCTTAAAGCCTGGGAAGAAAGGTTAAAATCTAAGATAGTCAAGCTTCTTTTTTCTCCAAAATGACAGTCACCTAAGGCAATGATTAATCTACTTCAATATAATACTAATTTTATTCTATTTCTTTCTGCTGAATAGTGTGTAATTTATCTACTGGCTTCATAGTAACTGTGCTGATATTAAAAAAATCTCATGATGACTAATGTTTTTTTTTAAATCTTTTCATTTCCTTCCAGTTATATATATAAAAACACCCTGACACAACAAGGATGAGACTGAATTACATTTAAGGTAGCAATATGGTTTTCATTTGATGTGGCTAGAAGGGTAAACTAACTCAAAAAGCGTGGTTTGAAGATACTGTGTAGAAAAACGGGATGACCCAACTGAACATAGAGCTGCATAAATAATGTCCAAGAAACAAATAGTAAATATGGTCCTAAGCATGATAATATCCCTTGGAAAACTGCAAAGATATTATCAGGTATTTATTGGCTCATTTTCCACCTGAACTTATTTGCCTTTTCTGTTTTGCTCCTCTTTTTTCTGCGTAGTTGGCCTTTTGCACACTAGATATTGGAAGGATTCTAGTTAATCATAACATTGCATTTTAGCTTTTCAGGACCACTACTGCTCTTACAGTTATGGTGTAATCTCTCCAGTTTTTTCAATAAGGTTCAAACTGTATCAAGTAAACCTAATTTATATGTTCACTAGAGCACCTCCAGGGAAGACCAGGACCAATAGATACAAACTCCTGGAAGGCCGCTTCAGGCTTAATACCAGGAAAAACTCCTTCACAGTCAGGGTGTCCAGACTGTGGAATAAACTCCCTCCAGAGGCGGTGCAATCACCTACCCTGAAGGTTTTCAAGAGGAGACTGGACAGTCACCTCACTTCAGTCATCTAACCCCAGTTGTCTTCCTGCCTAGAGCGGAGGGACTGGACCTGATGATCTGCAAGGTCCCTTCCAGCCCCTAACAATCTATGAATCTATGAATAAATTTTACCTTGCTATAATATATATACATATGCAAGATCTAAACTGGATGTTAATATAAAAATCCATAAAAATTAAAAAAGTTGCATTACATGACAGAATCTACTGGCCTCAAACTATACCCAACTCAAAAAACAAACGATGGAGTAAACCAGATAAATTTATAACAAGTGTAGGCAACCCCGAGTGTGCATACCAGAGCATGACGCTCTCATTAGGGAGGGGTGCCTCCCCCCCTTGGTAACAGAGCATTTATCAGCTCTGTTATTAGCATTTAGCACTCCATCAGAAAACAAAGACTCACTCATTACTTCAAGCTCTTTTTAAACAGCCTTTTTCAAAGGAAGGAATGGAGGGACATTACCAGCAGAGCTATTGATTAGCTCCAAATAGCACTAAGTGGACACTGTCCTATTTGCCTTACACAACATTAGGTAGCATACCACATGCTGGCTACAGTCTGTGCTATGGGAGAGAGGAGGAAGGGCTCTTTTTTAAAGCAGTGAATGGTGAAAGAGGGCAGAGGAGGGAAGGGGGAAGCCAGGCAGATGCTGCTGTGCCTGCCAGTCTCTGCCAGAGCTCCAGCCAGGGAGCAGAGGGGAGGGGCCAGCTCTGCTATGGAGCAGAGAGCCCTACCCAGCCCAGAGAGTATGCTGGGATGCTGAGGGAATTGGATTTAACTTAAACCAGCAGGGGGTCTGGGATAGACATTGCATAAACTGGTTTGACCAAAATCAGTGAAGTCTGATATTACATTCAACCAAGTTTATTCATGAACGATGCATGCCCCTGGTGGCTGGGGGGGCACGGTGACCACCTGCAGGTGGTGGTGGTGGCAGCAGCAGCGGGGGCATGGTGGTGGTGAGCGGGGAGCTCCTGCAGGTGGTCGCAGCAGTGTCAGTGGTGGGGGCGGGGGTGGCGAGTGCCGACCAGTGGTCAGTGATCACCTACAGAAACTGCTAGAGATCCATGATCAATGCAGGCAAGCTGTCACCAGTGTCAGTGGTGGGGGAGAGAGGTTGCGAGTGGTGGTTGCCCACAGATGCCTCCAGCAACGTCAGCAGCCACTGATTGCAGGGGGTGCACTGCCAACCTCAGGGTGCACATATACCCATGTGCACCCACTATGCGTTGACAATGGGTTCATCTCAAACCAGTTTCAGCCATTTTCAAAGTGGTTTATGTGCACTGACTGCCTGTTATGTTACAGGTTTAAACCATTTCTGATCACTTAAACCAGTTTATGTTTAATGTCTGTCCCTAGCCCAGGGGCCTGCCCAGAGCCCAGGCAGGCTGCAAGTGACTGCACCAGGGTCTGTGGAGCCCCAGCCAAGCTTGTTGCTGGCAGGGGGTGCCTTGTGGTAGGACAGTGGGTAATGGACTGCGGATGCAAAACCACAAGGATCAGGTCCCTTATGGCTGTCCCTGGCACACAAACATTTTACAAGTCAAGATTGTGGGTATTTTTGGCACCCTGCCCCAAAACATTGCTAACTCCTGCTCTATAAGATGTCCTCTGGTTCTCCCACTGGAGTAAAATTTAGTGGTTTTATCCTGGTCTGACCACAATGGTCCAGGAATTTTTCTCTCTCTAATTACTAAAATAAGAAAAAAATCACTCCCCAGTTCAAGATAGTAGGCCTTGCTTTCTGTAAACCATTTTATTCAGGCAGAAAGATGAGTTAAGATTGAGTTATGTGTCTCTGAAGCATCATTGTATCATGTCTGTGTTTATCCAGGTCTTTTTTCCCCACTTCTTTTTACATCCCTCTCATTGTATTAAAACCCACTTGTTGTGAAGGAAATGCATAGTAAAAACATATAATAATATTTAAAAATTAAATGCTGAGCATTATCAAAGAACACTACTTTGCTGTAAGCCTCAACATGTTGCATGGTTGCAATGATTATTAACTGCCTGAACGGCATCTTGTCTCTTTACTTAAAAACATGAAGTCTTAATTTAAGTAATAGAGTTGTATATTTAATGGAGTCTCTTTGGATTCCGTAAATTATAAAATCCCAGCTCAGCTGATAAAAGCAAGTGAAACCAAATGCGAATTGAAGGGATTGGCATTTGTAACACATACGTAGAATGTAACAAACAAAATTATGGCAGTTTTTAATGCAAAACCATTTGCAAGGAAGAAGTTAGGGAATATTCATTGCACACACTGGTTAGGAAGGATTTTAAAGTTGCCAAATATAACATG